CGTATCATAAAATATCAAAAAGCGAACTAACAAGGAAAGGTCTGATTTTTCCTCACTTAAAAATAAATTTAAAAATTAAATAATTTGGTACTCAAATAAATCCTTTATTTCGTCATTTTTAGAATTTCAAAATATAAAATAAATTAAGTACACAAATTTTGAATGATCAAATTTCAAATGTGATCAGTGGCAATTTTGTCCTAATTGAATTTTGGAAATAATAATTAAATTCTAAATTAAAAATTATCAATTTCTTTTTTTTTTTTTTTAAAATAAATAGTTAAATTAAAACTTTTTTTATGGTCCCCATACATAAAAATGTGGACCCGGGTCATACCCCTAAAAGCACCAAAAAGACGCTTACCCCATTATATGTACTTCTGATTTTATTTACAGCACTTTTGTAAATTCTTGATTCTCAATACAAAATCCTATCTTAAAGACCAAAATGAGTTGTCTCCAAAAATTCTACCGTTAAACTCATTGTGTAATGTGCTGGTTTGCAAATTGATACAATCCAACTCTATAACAGCTTGATTGAGACTTGAGACACAGGTTGGAGTACCCGCAGCTATATTTACACACGCACAAACAGCACACAAGAACAATTAACTAAAGATAATATTTAACACATTTAAAGACATATAAATATGTATTTGTGGAAGGACTCCACTTCTATGCCAAAAGCCGATACTCGGCTAGACGCAGGGTGCGCGAAATATGCGTCCCCTCCTGGGGAGAGTTTGTAGGCCAACTAATGCTCCGGAATGAGATAAATATATTTCTTCTCGGGATGAGTCTATAAATTAAACGTTTCTCATCGGGAGCAAAGGTTCCGTTGTACTTCCTCTTGGGTGAGAGTCTCCAGGCCTACTAACCATTTCTCCTGAACGTCACAGGGGGCACTCTTGTCAATGCGTAGGAGGAAACATGGTTACAAATTTCTAAGACAATTATTCAAATAGTTATTGAAATAAAGATGCTCGGGTACACAGGTCTGGATGAGCGAAATATACTTCCTCTCTGGGTAAGAGTCTGTTGGACAAAGAATACACAGGATTGTGCTAAATATATTTCCTCTCTGGATGAGAGATTATAAACTAAACGTTTCTCAACAGAAACGCGTGATTGCGCTGTACTTCCTCTCCGGTGAAAATCTCGAGACCTACAGACCATTTCTCCTGAATGCCACAGGGGCGCTGTTGCAATGCGTAGGAGAAATCAAGGTTACATCTGGAGATCCCGATTTGTGATTCTGTGCTCCCGGATGCAGGAGGATTCAGGTTGGATGTCACTGGCGGTGATCGTTGTGTATGCTGATTTCAGAAAAGAGAAGACTAGATGATGATTATAACAATGGTGGAAAGTGTCTCGCATTGATTGCTAAGTTGTCAGATGAGAGTTTTGAGGGATTTTTAGTTTATTTCCCTATAACAATCTTCATGGAAGTCAATGGCCCTTTGGTGAGATACATAAATGGATGGCGAGGCCCACCGATGAGCAAATTAATTAATTAATTAATCATTGAAACAAGAGCAGGAGTGTGATTCAGACTGACTGGATTCTTAATAAAAAATGTTTTAGATTATCAATTTATTGGTTATAGAATTATGGTCACTCTATTGGAATATAATTTCCTAGCAAAGCCTGAATGGCCGAGTGTCTAGTGCTCTGGCGATCGGTGTCACAGGTTTCTTGTTTGAGTCCCGGCGGTGCCATGGATGTTTGTAGTGGTTCTGAATCCACTTTAAACAGTAGTTCCCGGTGTAATATGATCGCAGAGCGATGTCTTGAGGTTTAGTCAGTCTTCAGCCTTCCCACGTTAAAAGCGAAACTACATATTACACTTAGTCATGGAGCAGCCGTCTACGAGGGGTATGTTGGACCTGTGCAGTCTTTTTGCACCGGGGGATTATTAACAACAACAACAGAATTTCTTAGCAAGAATTTTCTGAATAGACAATACCATACCACCTCCAGGATACGAACCTGAAGCCTGTGGGACCAAAGCCAGGGCGCTAGCCAATTGGCCATCAGGCCTACAACTCATAGGTTTGGTTTGGTTTGGTTTGTCGCTCAATGGCCATTTTGTGCACACAAGGGCAATTTACTCGATTCTGTACACAATTTTTTGGTATTAGAAGTGTGATTAGTATTAGCAATGCTCTGTTTAAACACAGCATTAGTTTGATATGCTTGGTATGACTAAGTTAATAAAATAAAGCATTTTCATATTCAGACTGGAGAAACTTCAAAATTCACAAGTGTTCCGAATCCTAAACTCGACAATCATCTCCAACGTGAGTTAACGGCCCGATGGCCATTTTTATAGCGATCTGGCCTTTGGTACCACGATTTTTCAGATTCGATTCCTGGCGGTGGCATGGATGTTTGCTAGTGCTTCAGAATCAACTGTAGCTCCCGGTCTAATTAGCCTGAAGCGTTGCAAAATGAGCTTAGAGCGACAAACCAAACCGAACCAACGTGAATTCTTACAAGATGAAATTCAACTACAACTAATTCTCACCTACGCAAGTGAAAATATCGCCTCCAAATACTTTTCAAATTTTTCGAACACGAATACTTTCCATCCTTCCTAAATACGATCCATGTACAAAAAATTCCGGTGAAAAAAAAAAATTCCTTCCTTAAACACAAGTTCATTAAGTTCCCAATTGTTAAACAAACCTCAAATATGACTCTAACCTTCTCAATGGCTCATAATCAGTTTTAATCGTGATCTTTCCTCATCTCCTTCCCGCAATTTTTCAGTTATTATAAATTTTTATATACTTAAATCCTTTCTTCCTCTTTAGTTCAAAGCTCTCACTCAAATTTTTCGAGACATGTGTCGTTTACACATGTATTGATACCTTGCTTTCTATTTACTCTTTCCTCAATAAATTATATTCACCCAGGGCCGGATTTAGATGAAAAGAGGCCCTAGGCTATTCCACTTATGAGGCCCTTTCACCTCCCATTTTTAAGTTTGTAAATTACATAATGAAATACAACATTGCTGTGATATATATCAATATGCTAAATGAAACATGTTGTGACGGGTACTTATCTTGATAAGAAATGTGGCATGGATAATAAATAAAATGAATAGTTTAAAAAAACTAAAAAACACGCTTTTAGAGGTAATCAAACTAAAAAGTAAAAAATAATTTAACATAAGAATAAAATGAGTGACGAGAAAATGAATGTCACTGTTCTAAAAGCGTGGGGTGTTCGATATCAATCGTTATAATTTTTCACTAGTTTCATTCCGGAATGCTGAGTTAGTTTTAAAATGTCATACAAAGCATCCCACGCTTTTAGAACAGTGACATTCATTTTCTCGTCACTCATTTTATTCTTATGTTAAATTATTTTTTACTTTTTAGTTTGATTACCTCTAAAAGCGTGTTTTTTAGTTTTTTTAAACTATTCATTTATTTTTTAGTTTGATTAATTCTAAAAGCGTGATTTTTTAGTTTTTTTAAACTATTAATTCATTTTTTACTTTTTAGTTTGATTAACTCAAAAAGCATGTTTTTTAGTGTTTTTAAACTATAATATTTAAATGAGGTCCCGGTATGGAGGAGTGGAACTATAGTTCTCACAATAATGTAATTGTGAGTAAAACAAAGGCTATCGCTTAAAGTAGGGCAAAATCGAGCCCAAAGAGTCAATTACAAACAAACAAACAAACATACAGGTGAAACTAATATAAAAGCGTATTAAAAAGAATCAACTGTTTTCTTTCTGAAAGATGCCTGTAAATGTTTCTTTGCAGCTTAAATAGTGTATATGAGGAGAAACAGATCTCCAGGGGAAAAAGTTAGTTACATACATACATACATACATACAAACATACAGGTGAAACTAATAAAAGCGTATTAAAAAAGTCGAGAACACTTATTTGGACATTTATTCTCAGCATCCTATATAGTACTTGTAACAATAACTAATTAAGCATTTTTTTTTTATTTCCAATGGCAGATTATGGACAGTTACAGCAAAAAAAAAAAAAAAAAAAAAGGACAAAAAAAAAAAAAAAAAAAACACCAAACATACAACAGCAACAAAACATGCTGAAACAGAGTTCATTAATCTAACAATAATGCCAAGTTGCAGATCTTTTAGCCACTGAAAAGTGTTACCAGATGCACCACGGGGAGGTAGATCTTCTGCTCACCGTAACTAATTAAACATAACACACAACATTTACAAAGAAACAAAATTCAAATAATAAAAAAAATTTCCAAACTTTTTTTTTTCCATAGTCTATAAACATTTTACTAAAGTATTGAACATACTGAACGCAAAAGGCGAAAATCAAATGATCGTGTACGCAATCCTAAAATAAGAATCTTTTCTAATAACAATAACACGTATTTCATATTATAGATGTAATACGAATATAACCGAACGTCGGGCTATCAATAGGTCTGTTCGTTTGTCTGTTCCAATCTGCACTTCATTTATGCAAGAACAAACCAGAGCTTAGTAGCATAAGGCACGTCAATATTTGCCATAGCAATCAGTGAACGTATGAGCTATACTTTGATGCAATTTAGTATATATATACAAACGAACAGACCCAATGAGCCGAAGGCGTTGATCTTAACCAATACATTTTTATGTTTGTTTATTAGTCACGTGTGTAGAATTGTTCCTTATTTTCGATTCAGTGTTTTAGTGTTTATTATTTTTAGAATAATGTAATTCTAATTTTGCTAACAATTTGAATGCTGTCCCTCTTGATCTTGCGGCCCTAGGCTGAAGCCTAGTTAGCCTGTAGGAAAATCCGGCCCTGTCATCATTAATTACCTTTCAAAACTGAAAAAAGAAAACAGATTAAAAAAATAAAAATATATACATTTTTCAAACGATTTTACAAACAGCACGTGGAAAATTAAAAAAAAAAAAAAAAAAAATTGAAAATTGAAAATTCCATTATTATCGCCAAATTTTTATTAAATGTAAAGGTTATTAAACTAATATTAAATTTCTTAGATCACCGAAGTTAAGTATCATTGGGCGCGGTCAGTACTTGGGTGGGTGACCACCTGGGAACACTGCGTGCCGTTGGCAAATTTGGGACCTGAATGACCGAGTGTCTAGCGCTCTGGCGCTCGGTGCCACAGGTTTCGGGTTCGAATCCCGGCGGTGCCATGGATGTTTGTAGTGGTTCGGAATCCACTTTAAGCCGTAGGTCCCGGTCTTCTATGACTGTAAGAGCGTCACGGAGCAAAAGTCAGGCTTCTACCTACGGGTGCTCCATCACAACAGAAGCTGCTTCCTTCCCCTTCAATCATGAGTCCATATGGGCTCGTGGGCTTGGCCAGCCAAGTGGGATAAGAAAAACAACAACAAATATTAAATTTCTTCCTTATTTGCCATAAAATTACGGATGTTGTTTTGGGTTGTGGGATTTTTTTGTGTCCTTGATCAGTTATTCGTTTCCTTGTCCACGTTCAACGCTTCTTATTGGTTTATTAATTTTTTTTTTAAATTTCTTTTCCGAGCTAGTATTCTTATTTATTTATTTTTTAGTTTCTTTTCCGAGATATTCTTATTGGTTTATCTATTTATTTATTTTAATTTCTTTTCCGAACTATTCTTAATGGTTTATTTATTTATTTATTTTTCGAGCTATTCTTATTAGTATATTTAAATTTCTTTCACGTGCACTTTTTTTTGGCATTTTGAATCGCTTTCTTGAATAGTTTGGAATTCTAAATTAAAATTTTTTTTTTTTTCCATTTGCTTCACGTGCTGTTTGCAAAATCGTTTGAAAATCTATAGTTATTTTTATTTTTATTTTTTTAAATCTGTGTTCTCTTTTCAGTTTTAAACTTTTTCTTTGTTTATTTGTTTAAGATTACTGTTATGCGATTATATTAATATTAATATTTATTTGTTTAAATTTCTTTCCGACTTATTTTTATGCGTTTATTTAAATTTATTTCTCGTTTTTTTTTTATTAAGTTTCCTTATATTTTTTTAATTTTGAACCATTTTCTTTAATCGTTTGGAATTCTAAATTTAAAAAAAAAATTTAATTTGTTTCACGTACTGCTTGTAAAATCGTTTGAAAATCTATAGTTTATTTTTTTTTAAATCTATTCTCTTTTTTTTTTTTTTTTTCAGTTCTCAACGATAAAAGATTAATATAATTTATTGCCTCTATACGATTTATTGATACTTTTCCTTTGTTTAAGATTGCGTTATGCGGCTATATTAATATATATATATATATATTTATTTAAATTTCTTTCCCAAGCTATTCGTATGCGTTAATTTGAATTTCATTCACGTGCTTTTTTTTTAATCGTTTGGAATTTGTACTTAAAATATTTTTTTTTTTAAATTTGAGTCATGTGCTATTTGTAAAATCGTTTGAAATTCTATAGTTTATTTTATTTATTTATTATTGTTTTTTTTTTGCAGTTTTCAACGGTTACTGATGAATATAATTTATTGATACGATTTATTAATACTTTTCCTTTGTTTGTTTGTTTAAAATTGCTGCTCTGCGTTTTATTCTTACATTACATTCTAAATTTTATAGGTAACCAGCTGATAAAATTTTTGATCTTTCTATTTTTTTTTTCTTACACTTTTTCCTTGCTAATTTGTATTTTAATTCTTTAGCAAATGCTCTTTTCTAAATTATAACTTCTCATTTTAAGTTATATTTGTTTATTACTAGCTTATTTAAAATGAATTAATTAAGTAACTGGGAAAAAACGGGATCTTTTCCCAAGGCGCTCCGTAAATTATACAACTTTTACCGTTACCCGTACCTGAAATGTTATTAATATATATTTCTCACAAATATTGAAAATAAGATTTCTTATTATAGACCTACTAATAGCTCATCTGTGATTAAGATTCTTATGAAATAATTTATGAATGGTTCAAATAAATTTAGAATGTTTCCATTGAGTTTATATGAGTCTTGGCTACATATCCTTGGACCAGAAATAATCATAAAGACTGTTTTCTATGTTTCTTATAAATAAGCAGTGCAATTTCTCTTGGGCATAACAATATCTCGCAATACAATACAATACAGTACTTTTGTGATATCATTTAAATAAAAAAATTAATAAAAGATTTAATTTTGTTTATTATAGGTATACATGAATTCTCGCTCGATTAGATGTGATTAATATACATTTAGCAACAATTCAAATGTACTGAGCACTTAACTCGAGCACTGAGAACTGTACTGAGCTTAACTTGAGTACTGTACTGAGCACAGTGACTGATTTAGGTTCGATGGCCCAAGTTAATTTGACGCCCTTATATATAATAATAATAATAATAATAATACGAATAGTAATAATGGATTCGAATTAAATTTAGCTAACGAATTTAGGCATGGATTAAATATATATACACTGAAGTGACAAAAGTCATGGGATACCTCTTAATATCGTGTCGGCCCTCCTTTCGCCCGGCGAAGTGCAGCAACTCGACGTGGCATGGACTCAACAAGTCGTTGGAAGTCTTCTGCAGGAATATTGAGCCATGATGTCTCGATAGACGTCCATAATTGTGAAAGCGTTGATGGTGCAGGATTTTGGGCACGAACAGACCTCTCGATGATGTCCCATAAATGCTCGATGGAATTCATGTCGGGCGATCTAGGTGGCCAGATCATTCGTTGGAATTGTCCAGAATGTTCTTCAAACCAATCGCGAACAGTTGTGGCCCGGCGACATGGCGCATTGTCATCCATAAAAATCCCATCGTTGTTTGGGTACATGAAGTCCATGAATGGCTGCAAGTGATCTCAAGTAGCTGAACATAAGCATTTCCAGTCAATGTTCAGTCCAGTCGCACCAGAGGACCAAGTCCATGCCATGAAAAAACAGCCCACACCATTACGGAGCCACCACCAGCTTGAACAGTGCCTTGCTGACAGTTTGGATCCATGGCTTCGTGGGGTCTGCGCCACACTCGAACCCTACCATCAGCTCTTACCAACTGAAATCGTGACTCATCGGACCAGGCCACGGTTTTCCATTCATCTAGGGACCAACCGATATGCTCACGTGCCCACGAGAGTCGCTGCAAGCGATGTCGTTCTGTCAGTAAAGGCACTCGAGTCGGTCTTCTGCTGGAATAGCCCAAGAAAGCCAAATTTCTCCGCACAGTTCTAACAGACAAGTCCCTTGTACGTCCCACATTGATTTCTGCGGTTATTTGACGCAGTGTTGCTTGTCTGTTAGAATTTACGACTCTTTGCAGACTTCGCCGGTCTCGGTCGTTAAGTGCAGGCGGTCGACCACTGCGCTGTCCATGGTGGGATGTTATGCCTGAAATTTCATACTCTCGGCACACTCTTGACACAGTGGATCTCGGAATGTTGAATTCCCTAACGATTTCCGAAATGTCATGACCCATGCGTCTAGCTCCAACTAACATTCCGCGTTCAAAGTCTGTTAATTCCCGTCGTGCAGTCATCATCACGTCAAAACCTCTTCACATGAATAACTTGAACAGAAATGAAAGCTCTGCGAAAGCACTGCGCGTTTATACCTGTTCTACGCGATGCTACTGACATCTGAAAATTTGCCTATTGCTATCCCATGACTTTTGTCACTTCAGTGTATATTGGTATAACAACTAAACATACAGTTTAGAATAAATTGCTTTTAATTAAGAAATAAATCATATCTGTCTAATTAATCATAAAATATATTTGTTTCTTGCTTTCATCCGTGCGAAAGTATTAATGTCATCCTTATACTTAACGATCATGAACTAATTACGTTTCAATGCTTAATAATGCAAGTGCATTGAGCCTATCTTGCTTCATACCTGCACGTAAATAATTTTGAACGTAAATAATAAAGTTTTTCAGTAATAAGGCAAAGGTATAATTAAATATGGTGAATTAATATTTTGTGTTATAATGATGAGCAAACAAACGCTTCATTTAGTTTTTTAAAGAAATATTTATGAAAAATCTAACGTCAATAGATAAATGCTATACTTAACGAAAAATTTTTAGTACCTATTTGTTAGATATTTTAAATTTTACTACTTACACGATTAATTATTTTAAAAAATAATTCTACCCTTTAAATATTGACATCTTGAGGTTGTCAAAGCAAGAAAAGAAACATTAAAACTCATTTTAGAATCATTGCATAATTATTTTCCTTGCATTTATGCTAGAAAATTATTTTAATTTCAAAATATGTACTGTTTAGCTTAGAAGATTTATTTATGCAGTACTTAAAGAACATTTCTTGGAAAGTCTAATGATTTCTATTGTTTTCTTTTCTAAGAAGATATACTCATTACAGTAATTTCATATGTCAACTAAGATTTATCGTTTTTGAAATTTCCATTATTAAACTTATATAACGTATCGTAAAAGAAGGAATTCTTAGAAAGGTAAGCTAAAACGCACTTGATAATTATTCGAGAACATTTGATTTGAAATTATATAACCTGCCCTTTGTGTTTGTTAATCACGTATATTTCCCATTAAAATATAATGGAACCATTTGAATTTACTGCATCAAACAATCTTATCACGAACAAATATGTATTTTACATTTACATCCCAATTATATTTTCCAAATTATTGTTTTACGGTTTGGTTTGTCGCTGTACGATTATTTTTGGCACACTTTGGACTAATTAGACAGAGACCTACAGCTTAACGTGGATTCCGAACCATTAACAAACATCTTTGCCACCATCAGGATTCGATCCAATGTGGTACCAAAGGCCAGAGCATTTAGCCAATGGCCATCAGGCAGCTATTGTTTCACGGAGCAGAAAAAGTGAAAATAAAATTTTGCAAAACTTTTATCGTATTATTACAACGACTGCAATGTATAGGGCCTGATGGACAAGGGTGCCACAGGTTTCGGGGTCGAGTCCCGGCTGTACCATAGATATTTGTAGTGGTTCGGAATCCCTTTAAACCGTAGGTACTGGTCTAATATGACTACTACTACTACACCCCATCATTGTGCCTCTGTGATGCTCTTCAGTCATAGGAGACCGGGGCCTACGGCTTAAAGTAGATTCCAAACCACTACAAACATCCAGGGCACCT